AACTGCAGCCAAATGTAACCTGACGCCTCATAACAACCTTTTTGTTCAGGTGGTCTCCCCGCTGCAGCATAAATTGGAAAAGCTGTCGATAGTCGAGAGGGCATTTGTCCATGCTGATCATGAGTTTGATGGGTATGCGCGTTGATCAGTTCTGCGCAGTTTTGATAGCTTTAATAAAGTGCTCCATTTGGCGTGTTTACTGCTACATACTACACCAAAAAACGATCGACCACGGGTTGAAAGCTCGTTGACGCAGGAAATTTCCAAGCGTCATTTGCCGTGGCACGCAGTTGTCGAAATCTAGTCAATTGAGGCGTTGATCCACGGGGTTTTTAGCCGCTTAAAGGGGCTCCGAACTGCCAAATCAAAGCCCTTTTTGGAGGGCTCTTTGATTTCTGGCAAATTGCCAGCGGGCGCTGCGGGACATGAGCCCTCACTCTTTCGATTTTTGCGCGAAGTTGTTTTTGCCCGGTTTCTTTGTGAAAACACTATAATTCGCGCATTCTGAGCCCAGTTTTGAAATCCTCACTCAATTTTAAATAGTTTTGGTGTCTTAAGCATCAAATTTGGCCTAGAAACAGCCGAGAACGTGCTTTCGAGGTGACAACAGGCAATTTCAAATTTTGCGAGCTTCCCGGCCCCTGGGCGTACAGAGGCCTCCGACGTACAGGGCTCCGATTTTCGGGTCGTCACTCAATTTTTGGCATTTCGTAGCCCCTTTAAAGGGCATTACATTCTTGCAAGTAGTTGCAAGTGGGCATTATTCTTGCGTTTGTTATAAGCTTAAAGGGAAAGCGCAAGGCATTACAGTCAAGCTTTGCTGTCGCCTCGCGTTGCGGCTGCTCGCACGTGGCTGCTTTTCACGCTTTGCGGCTTGTGGGCGCGTTGCGTGTCGCGGGGCTGCAAAGCCCATAGGTCACTGAACAAGAACCCATAATTATGCCGTCCTTTTAGATTTGAGATTTAATTTAAAAATTCGATATGAAAATGTAACGTTTCCAGTTAATTTAAAGCTAAAATGACAATTGTGTCGCATTCCGATTTCGCGACCCCGATCTGCCCAGTCCATTGCTTTTTTAGGCAGTTTCGCTAGATCCAATTCTCCCCCTTGGATTTTAGAGCTACCGGGTGTGTGTGCGGGCTACATAGCACAAAAGATATGAGCTGCCCGGGGCTTTCGTTAGAATCGATGGCCTATGCCCCCTTTCTTTTGCCTTTAAAGGGATTGATAAAGACTCGTGACAATCGGCCCTACCCGCTCCGGACACAAACTAACCACCACGCTGCCCGCGTTTTGGCTTCCGCCTTTTTCCGCATTAAGGATTTAATAATCATAAATATTATTTGTTCTATTCATACTTCTGTATTTCTTTATATTTTTCTTGCACTTTCTGTCTTGTTCCCACAGATTTATCGAAAATATTTTTAGGGTGAAAAGTGTGGCGCCACGTTTTCAGATCAACACTTATTTCAGTCCTGCCTTTTCATCGCCCAGCTTTTTCATTTCGCCATTTTTAAACGGTTTTATAGAGCATTTATGACTTTCCTAAATTTTTACATTATTATGTTCTATTAAACATGTATTTATTACATATTTTTTATAGATGAAAATTTTATAAAGACAAAAAAGCTTTCAGGCCTATATCGTCGCTCCTTGACAAGTTTCGCGATTAAGAATTATTCTCTATTTACTACTAGAAGAACTATTACATTTAGAAACCCATTTAGAGATAAGGCTAGATTATTATTTTTGCTATTTTAGCAATTTTATTTGTTTTCTTTGTGCCGTCAATATTAATGCCGTTTTTGTCATACATTTCTCGATGTCTCGGTTTTACCGATTTTTTACCCTTACTATTTTAGCTTTTTTAGATGTCATCCGATCCGGAAGCGATCCGGACTTTGGAGAACATCAGGCGGATCCGGGAACACAAGAAACTATCCCGAGATCCGAATCCCCAAAGACGCCAGTCGAAGATGTGGGAGCAATTTTCGATCCCAGACCCAAAAAATCTACACTAGAAGCTGTAGAAACGATTCCAGCAAGTCCGGAACATCCGGAAACGCCTCAAGAAACTGCTGAAAACTTTATGGCAGACGAAGCTAGTCCGGAATTGGAAAAGCTAGCCGAAGATATGGACCGGAAATCACCGAGTACTCCTGAAGCCCTAGGGGACGGCTTGACATACGAGGCACACCCCGAAAAACCGGCAATTCCGGATTCAGAAATTCCGGAAGGCCATACAGCAGAAAACCTGATGGAAGAGGAGGGGAATCCGGAAGTTGAGAGATTAGAGGAAAAGCTTAGAGCATCACCAGATACGCCAGTCGAAGAATTAGAGATTTCTACCGATCCTCAGTCGGATAATCGGTCATCGAGGCCGCCGAAGCGCTTCCGGAAGGGAAAACGGATCCGGAACACACGGCTTCCGGTTTTATGGCACAAGAAGCTAATCCGGAAGTGGAAAATCTAGAAGAAAAGCGGGGAAGAAGTTCGCCAAGTACCCCTGTAGACGATAAAACGCCCTTAGAATACGGAAAAGAAGCAACAAAACCGGAAATTCCGGAAGCAGAAGCTCCGGAAGGCCATACAGCAGAAAACCTGATGGAACAGGAAGCCAATCCGGAACTTCCGAAACTTCAGGAAGATATTGTTCTGCCAGGAACACCTAGAAAACTTTCGCCAACCCTGAAAAATTCACCCCCAATTTCCCCAAATCCAGATACTTTAGAAAATGTCAAGTACTTCCGGCATCAACCTAGCGAAGAAATATCTAATCCTGTGATAAGGAAGCCAGGATTTGAAGTGGTAGTCGAGCCGAATGAAGACGACTTGGCCGCCATGGAGAACGGGGTCGGGGCGTCGAAGAATAACCTATTAGTGCTCGGAACGGGGCCGAACAAGGTGGAGCCGGTGCCTGAAGAAATGCCGGAAACCGAAGCGGATGCTATACTGGAGGACATCGTCGAGTCACAGGTGGGTGGGGACTTCAAAGCGACTGGGAAGCTATAAAATCGACGCCCTTCGTGGGCTGGGTCTCGACATCCGAAAAATACCTACATTAGTCTTTAATCACTTAAAAAACGTAGAATTACCCCATCTGATCCTAAAATAGCTGAGAACTACCATTCTATCTTAAAGCCATAAGAAAGCACTAAACTCGACTCTTTCTGTTGACTAGGCCTAGACAGTCGCTCGCCAGTCCAAAAGGCCGATGCAGAAGAAATGTATTTTTGTTCAAACGTCACTTACCAAAAACATGCAAAAGCGCATCTTCGAGTGCGATTTGGCGCATCGCTCAGTCGTCTAGACCTAGCCAAGACGATGGGTCGATTCTGGCTCCCACAAGTCATTTACAGAATGCGCAAAAATCGTAATAATTACTCGATACATTTCTAGGCCGAAGAAGGTAAACCCGGACCCGACGTCCTTGCCGGAATCGCTGAGCGTCAACTGGCGTTCCCGAGACTCGAAGAAGTCCCAAAAATTGATTCACCGGTTGAAAAGGACTACCAAAAAGAGCTGCCAAAGCTGGTGATGAGCGCACAACATCCAGGTCAGTCTCGTAGGGTAGAGAGAGAGAGAGAGAGAGAGAGTACAAATTTTTTATTTAGATTCTCGCGCAAACGATTCACCAGCTGCCGAGACTCCTGTCGATCCGAGGTCCAAATTCAAATTTCCGCTGAAACCCGCCAGAAAAATAAGCAAAGAGAGGCATACTAGTTGGAAAGATGATGTCCATGTGAGTAGTGGATACCTTCTTGATTTTCTACGTTTTTTTTGAAGCTGTAGTAGCTGGAAGTCTACGAAATAGCATGCAAGAGTTTTTCAGTATTTCATTTTCAGATGGAAGCTCCGCCCGCCGAGCCAATAAAAGAAGAAGCCGGCGCCGTTTTCCGTTTCACCCCAAAGAAGCAAGTCTCAATTTTGGTCAGCAAGCCACCGTCGGATGAGAACATCCCAGAGCGACGGGGTGAGTCAGTTATTTGGAGGGATTTGGATCGGAAGTAATGGATTGAGGATAGTAGGTTCAGCTGGTTAAACACTTTGGCCTGGTAGTAGAAAATTAGTCAATTTCGACATCAGCAGCCTATAAAATGCTTGATTCACCCAAATACAGATAATGTCATTAATTGAGCTTTGCTTAACGTGATGCATTATATGATTTAGATTTTTTGATACCTTTAAGTCGCGGCAAATCAATTTTGCGTAAATCCGCGAAAATTATCTACCTTCCGATTCTAAATCATCGATCTAGATCATGGCAATTAATTTAGATACTTTTATCGATACTTGCAATTAATCAACATTTTTATTAAGTTATTAATATATAATTGTTTCAATATTAATTAAGGAATTTTTGATGCCTAAAAACCTTGGATTGCGGCGGAGATGATTTTTTAAATTAAAAGTTCATGATAAAAATTATGGTATTTAAATTATTTTAGTCGATCATTTTACTTATTAACGATGAATAACAACTCTAGTAATTCCTGCTACATTGCGAACATCATTACGGATCACAAAGATAACTTCCTAATCCAATTTCCTGCCGCGTAAACCAGCCGCAGATGCGGCATCGATTTCCTTACCTTTTGCACGACCTTTAAAAGACATTGGCACCTGGCCACCCAGATATTCGTCAATATTTTAAGCCGTTTGTTTTCGTTTTCTTGCTCAGTCACTGGCAGTCACTGCTGCTCACAAAACTGTCTTTCTGATGTTTGTTTTGGTCTTTCTAGTTTGGGTGCACGTGAAAAGGGAGAGGGGTGCTGTGGGTGGGCACACTTTTTGACCCTTTTTCTGCCCCACCGGTCCACCACCCCCTGTTTGGCTGGATATTTGTCGGAAATTGGAGTAGCCGGGTATCGATTGATTTTGGGTGTTCCTATTAATGCATCAGGCCGTATTTTTTTCATGGTTTTTTTTACGGTTTCCCTTGTCATATATCGATTTGATCCGCGTTTGATTGTCACGTTAATTTAATCGGTTAACAAGGCTGCTTTTGCTTTGAGTTTTATACAAAACCTCGTGTATCGATTTTGACCTGATTTTGCTAGTTTCCAATTGAATTGGGCCTCTCAAATGCAAATCCTTAAGGGTAAAACGTCGACTGTTAAGCGGCTTTGCTTTGAATATTAATTTCATGCTCCGATTACTCACTCCTAAAAACCACAAACTCGCCAAAAGACCGGCTACCAGCCATAGATCCACAACAGTTCTCCCCCTGGCCGCGTGTGTCCACTACGCTGCGCTCCAATTCGCCTACTCCCCATTCTTTTCCCAATTTTTCCACGGTTCACCGGATGGTAAACATGCCGAAATCCTGGGCAACAGTATCGAGCGATTGAATTTTGAGATTTCAGACAATTTTCCGGATTTTTCTACATAATCATACAAATTTTGAAAGTGGGCTTTTCCATTTTCAAAACTCAAAAAGTTGTTTGTCAACCCTACGCATTTGAGCGATTTAAACAGTTTTCAATAATTTTACCAATGGCAATAAACCTATGAAAACCATTCAAATTCCGTTTTATACACATTTACACCCAGATTAAATTTCTCTCAGACCCCAATAATCTCCATTTTTCAGCGCCTAATGGGCGACGCAATTGCCCCATCCGATTCCGCATCGAATTATGATGAGAAAACGCCACTTCTAGCGTCGACGTGAGTTTACATGTGTAGATATTGATACCAGATAAATTCTTTGGGTTTCCTCCCAACCGTATGTGGTGATGAAACCCTTCCCATCCACCCAACCAGCCTCGAGCCCTCCGTTTTTGATGAGCCGATTTCGTCGGCGAGATCAGGTCCGTGGGCTTGAAATTATTACAGCAGTGTTTTAAAGGGATAGCGACAGCAATGCCATATATTTTTGTATTTTTAGAAGGCTGGGGTCCGACAAATCCGCGGCGACAGCGTAGAAGATCAAGGTTAAGGAGTGAAAATGCGCTGGAACCCTCGAAAGCACGGTTGGTAGTTTTTTGTTTTGAACGTTGAAAAATTGGAAAAGTCGTGTTAGAAAATAAATAAATGTTTTAGAATACCTGAACCGTGCATTAATAGGGTACATAAAACTAACGGAATTAAGCGTAAAAGACATGGCCAAACGCCGTTTTTAATTTGTTTCCGGTTTATCTTAATTAACTTCTTTGAATCTCGGTGTCCTGAATCGATACAAGGTTAAATTTGTTTTTTTTTCTGCGTTTTTTGGGGTTCTCCCGCACTCTCGAATTGAAATAAACAGGTGCCCATAGATCGTTTGGTGTCCACCCGAGAAAATATTGACGTTTTTGCGGGTGGGAGGTGATGAGATTTAGGATGAAATAACGGACCGGATTTCAACTGTTTTTATACGAACTTTACCGCAGGTTTTTCAGTCCGAAACGGCCTTCACTACTAGGATACTATTTTATATGACCTTTACCGAATCTTCTGCTTTAACACTATATTTTCTGGTAGCAATTGGTAATCTTCAGTGTACTCTTCCAATGTTGGTTAGATATTAATTATTACGATAAAAATAATAGCAAAGAAGACGTCATATTTAAAGGACCATAAAAGCAGTAATAAGTCATTTTAGCTTGCCGACGCTTCGCAAAAGG